TAGAAAATTTTATCTATAACAGGACAAGTAGTCGGACTCTGCAAGAGTTGAATTCAAAGCTAGAAAGAGTTTAGGCATAAGACTCTCAAGGAACAATTTAACATGAATAAAAGATGCACTGCTTACCTGCTTATACAGAAGCTGAAGATTTATTCATTTACTGATCTATAATTGCTTCTCTTTCACACTCGAATTTAAAAGGTTGACAGAATTCACTTTCCCAAACTTCTAGCCAATACTAAAACACCAAGTCACATAATTTCCTACTAGTTATACAAAAATGTAATGAGAACTCTGCTAAAATGTCCTATTAGAAATCTAGTTTCAAAAAAGCTACACTAAACATATTTTCTATGCTCTTCATGCAAAGTCTATCATATTCAAGACAATATATTGTTTAAAGCTCTTGCCAAAAAAAGCAATTACAACTATGCTTAAATCAATACAAATTTGTTCTCGATAATAGCAAAAACTTTACATTATATTACATATTTTCTACTGCTGGACACAAGTAGATTTCAACCTTTCAAATGCTTGATACAATTTACTGATTTTCTTTCTTTTTCTTTTTTGGAATAACAAGGACTTGAATGAACAATGCATTCATTAATGTTTAAATTGAAACAAATTACCTTTCTATATAGGCAATGGTTTTATCAATATATATATTTAATTTCCTTATTTCTTTTCTATAGAACATTATATTGATACTGACATGATACTGACTCGTACAAACAACCTCTAGAATAGCAATTTTCAACCAATGTGTCACACACCTCTAATTAAGGGAGGTTTGAAAACTGAGAAAGAAAACAAAATATGATAAATAAATAAAAAATAAAAAGGAAATGAATTTAAAGAGTACTCTAACTTTTTTTCTGTGGCTGATATATGAACTTGCTGTTTTGTGTATTCATGTATGATGTGGCAATAAACGTTACTATGCAGCCAATTATTCTCAGCAAATGCTAGCTATTCAACTTTAGACACTATCTTATTAAGTTTTTTTTCACGACCTATCCCACACCCTAAAATCCAGGTCACATTAACATGCCTTCCTGGGAAAATATGGCTGTGGGCTGGAGGGACAGGAACTTCCTACCATGAGAATTTCAGCTAAAGACTGGGGTGACGGGAATGACTCACCACAAGTGCACAAAGTTCTTGGAGGGTGATTAGACTCAGTGGGCATTTAGGAATGGACTCTGGCATTATTTCCATTGATAAATGAGTGTGGAATGTGCCATCTGTGAGCCATGACTAGAAGACTGCTGGTTCCAAGGAGAACACTATATCATGCACAAGATCCTATTCCTGCCTGCCATGATCAGAGGTGGAGGTTGTATTACAGAAAATAGAATATTATGAATAAAATAAATAAAATTACACAAATGACAAATGTTACTCATTGTTACTATCACTGCACTGAGTTATGGACTAGCTAGGGAAATGATATGGAGTCTGTACAAGGAAAACAGTCTATTACTATCTGGATAGAACATGTCAAGTGACAAATATAGACAATGGAAAATGACAAAAAAGCTAAAAATGCTTAAGCAGAAAAAGATAATGTTGCAAAGGGAAGGCAAGAAGTCTTTACATGGCCCACTAGTGTACGTGTGTGCCTAGCCTTCTAGCCACACACCCATCAGAGTGGCCACTCATGAAAGTCTATTGCGTGGATTTTGAGCCACGTGCAGTCAGCACAGCAACCAGATTCAGCGACTTGAGAAACTAATGGTGTGCCTTGACAATTTTTTTGTCTGTCAAGTGTGCTGTATGTTTAAGGCAAAAAATTGTTGTTCTAGAGGCTGAGCAATTGTACAAATAGCTAAAAAGTGATGGCACAGCATTGGCATTATTAGACACCATGGACTTAGATTATTGTTTTCGGTTTGAAAATCAATAAAACAAACATCTAGGTTTCACATGTCATCATAAGCATGTGAAATTACATAAGAGGACCTGAAAAGGAAGGTCTTCATTAACAAAAACCCCATTCACTTTCTTGGCTGCAATATTCTTTCTTCATTTCAAAACTAGTCATATTAATAAAACCGCAATACAATGAAAGGAATGGCCACTCAACCAACACCTCTTGGACAATGGTCAACTCACCAGTCATGGGTCCAACAGCGGAAGGGCGATTCCATATTGTATAGCGGCTAATTAATACAAAGAACAAGTTCCACTGTATGCTTCAAGTATTCTCTTTGCCGTGATCTGTTTTAAATATTTGACTTAATAAAAGCTTTCTCTGCAGTTGGAATCCATGCTCATTGAAATGATATGTAGCTTTCCATGAGTTAGATATCAAGATCTCTACACTTGAGCTCTTTGCTGCACAAGAAGCTTCACACTGACAAGCAAATACTGGCCTCCCCAAAAGATGAAACTTGAAAAAAGAAAATAAAGAAAAAATGTGACTGGAAGGGATCTGATGAAGCTATCAAAACCTTTGTCTTGACGTGAACCTGTTCCCCAAATATAAATACAAAAAGAAATTTTCTCCATTTACTTTTTCAAAATCCGAGTCTACGTGGAAACGAAAATCTTGTAAAAAGAGGCTGTTATCGGAGGGTTTCCAACATAAATGAGACGAAGGATTACCTCATGGCAGTACTGACACTTCCCCTGTGAGGATGAGGATGATGATGATGTGGTGTTCAACAAGGAAGACTCGGGTTGACCATACGCCCTTTTGACCTGAGAAAACTCTTGCATTCCTTCGTCTTGACCCAGTTTTTTGCGACTTTGCTTCAACTTTACTTCCCTTCCTTACTGCCTTCCCTCGTTTTTTCTTGTGTTACCCTTTTACCCGCCTTATTTCCTTCTTCAAACCAACTGCCATCTTCATTACTTCTCCAATTTCCCTTGAAGCTTCACAAAATTCTAGTGTGAGATCTTCATATGCTTGGAAACATTCCATTTCTTGCTTATTACAACAGTGGTGAATATTGTCAGCCTGTTCTGTCTTCGCCAACAATTCTTCTCCAATGTTCCCCAAAGAAACCCGGCCAGTGCTTCTAATCTTCCGACTCATTAAGATTTTCTCATCTTCCAATATTCACCAATACTTCCATTCTTCAAGCCTTGGGATGACAAAAGAAAATAGCGTTAAGAATCGTTTTATTGGTAGAGAGAACCACAAAAAATCTCCTCATGTACACAGACTTAAACTACAACTCAAGTAATTTCTTTTGAAAAGAGGATGTCACACCTCAACTCCATCTAGTCTAAACATGGGTCAAATCTCTTGAATCATATTTCATAATTTTTAACATTACATTCACATAGCCACTGAAAAAACACTAAAATGGCTATTGAAATTATATAAAATTCATGAGAAGAAAAGGGAAAAACATAACATTATCAAGAGCAAATAAATGTACCATATCAGGATACAAAAGCTATGGCAATCTCATGAGCAATGTGTTTTGCAAATGCCTACAAAACCTAAACCTAAACTAATGCCGTAAAAACACCCATCACACTTCACAAACATACTTAATATTATTGTAAATTGACTAACTGAACTAATGCCTGTCAAACTTGCTCTCCTTGCATCACTTATTAATCCTTTTCACATCACTGGTTAGACCTTTGTCATTCTAAACACTAATAAAAATAATTATATATATATCTTTAAGGGATAAAATAGGCTTTGAAAGAAAAAGAATATGCTGAACATAATGTAGCTATATTAAGGTTTGCTACTTCTAAAATTGAAAATAAATTCACTTTCCTTTCATTCTCAAAATATATACATTTTATTCCATCTAGTAACAAAGCAAAAAGATCTTCATTTCAGATTCTTTCAATGAAAAACCTCCAGCTAACTGGTGGAAAGAACATCTCTAAATTCTAAAGAATATTTGTTCTTCAGTACATAGAAAAAGTGCTGGTGCAATCAGCCAGCTATGATCCTTAACTCTAAGACTTATAAACTTGGAAAAACAAACAATTATATTTATAAAGTGTCATTCTAAGAGGATAAAAATATATCACTTTTGGCCCACTTCTATCCTATTAGAATGGCTAGTTACATTGAATAAAGTCTATTTTTCCAGTTATAACTAAGCTTAAGTGGCACCAACACCTCAATACCGGCTGTAGCGACCTGAAAAAGGATAAATTTTGCATAGTCAAAATTCATCACGGCCTTGCTCAGGCTCACACGTTCAAACTAAGAGCTTCAGGGAACCAAGAAGGCAAGCTTCACATAATGTGAACAAATCAAAATAATTATAATCACCTTCATCACATACCACATTAAATTTCATCATCTGCAAGAATGCTAACTTAAAATCCAATGAAACAAAGTCATAAAAGCTAGGACATCCTTATCACTAAGGTGACATCAGCTACAAGGATACATTTTGTATACGTCACGAGGCAAAGAAAGAGTAGTAAGTGATGACATCTTACAAATAAATCAATAACTAAATACAAAGGAAGGAGATTGCAGAAGGCTTTAATCCTTTTCTCTTTCTTTTTTTAATGTGAACATGTGTCAAGAGAAGCAAACACTATTTTGATAAAGGAAAACAAATATAAAATGGCCAGATATAAAATGTTCCCAAAAAGTATTGTGTTAAAAAATGCTATCTGAAGCAATTTTGCTTTTTTTCCAAATATTCTAGCTTCTATTTGTTATTCAAAGGTATAATTTTACATTTTCTAAATCACTCTCCTTTGGCTAACATTCTGTATATATATTTACTTTCTAGTCATGTACTTTTGCTATCTACAATTCAACTTTTAATAACAATTTTATAGGTATGTTTCCATACATTTTACAAATAAAGTTTATGTAACTAAAAACTGCAAAGACAATTAACTATCTTTTTCACAGATGTAATATAGGAACAAGGATGATGTTAAAAAATAATAATAATAAAAAAGGAAATTTAAAAAACAATCAAAGATTCAAACACCATAACACGGAGAAAATATTTGGTAAAACTGAAAGCTACTCATCATGAATTTGTGAATATCCTGCATGAGATAACTACTAAAACATTCATATCAACTAAAAAGTTACGCATTCAAATTCTTCGTTCTAGCAGCAGAGTTGGTGAGCAAGTATCAATCGTATCCCCTTTCACACAAGTCACACTCAATTTATTTTGGATTTGGACTTGATTGTATAATCAACTAATTCCCACTGGCTGACATCCAATCACATCATGAGCCCAATTCCTGGGATGTTGCCGCTGGAGCCCAGCTGTGTGCCAGACAATAGATCTTGGGCACAGAGGAGTACAGACTAATGCACTCTGGGCTCACCAACCACTGGCCACTCTTACAGGTCACGAATGGGCTGAGTAGATAAAAACACCCACACCCACCCATCCACCCATACACATACGCATGCAAAAACGCATGCACACACACACACAGATCTAAAGTATAACTATGAAGTATAAAATCAACTATAATAGGACATACAATTAATCATAATAGGTCAACTCCACACATAGAGAATTTCTTCATTCCTTATCAAGATTACAATAACGTAATATATCCACTGACTTGAGTCAAGGATTATCATTTCTGACCCCAGGCCTAGGCATTCTATCTGAGGAACTACAAACGTCAAACTGTAACTTTCCTTGAATCCTACTTTATTTTTGTAAACAATGAGGTCCTTTAGTCTTTGAAATATATATATAATAATCTAATGCAGTGGAAGCCAGCTGAGACATGCAAATGACATTCCTGTAGTTTACAAATACATATATGGAATAAAGCCTACATGTCCATGTGACAGGAAGTTCACAATACAGGTAGAAAATTTATTCAAGATCACAGAAAGTACACAAAATTTTGGGTGCTATACTTAAAAGTATCTGTAATCCATGATTGTCTCAGAAGACTTACATATCTTCATGCTATCATTAAAAATAATTTCAAACCTCAATTGAGTCTGATAGCAAATGATAATGGAAAAAAAGGCCAAGAGAGGGAGAGAAAGAGAGAGAGAGAGAGAGAGAGAGTGTGTGTGTGTGTGTGTGTGTGTGTGTGTGTGTGTGTGTGTGTGTGTGTGTGTGTGTGTGTGTGTGTGTGTGTGTGTGTGTGTGTGTGTGTGTGTGAGTGAGTGTGAGAGTGAGTGAGTGTGAGAGTGAGTGAGTGTGAGAGTGAGTGAGTGTGAGAGTGAGAGAGTGTGTGAGTGAGTGAGAGAGTGTGTGAGTGAGTGTGAGAGTGTGAGAGTGTGAGAGTGTGAGAGTGTGTGAGAATGTGAGAGTGTGTGAGAATGTGAGAGTGTGTGAGTGTGAGAGTGTGTGAGTGTGAGTGAGTGTGTGAGTGAGTGTGAGTGAGTGTAAGCGTGAGTGTGAATGAGAGTGAGTGTGAATGAGAGTGAGAGTGAGTGAGTGTCAGTGTGAGTGTGTTTGAGTGAGTGAGTGAGTGAATGAGTGAGTGAATGAGTGAGTGTGAGTGAGTGAGAGTGAGAGTGAGTGAGAGTGAGAGTGAGTGAGAGTGTGAGTGTGAGTGAGAGTGTGAGTGAGAATGTGTGTGTGTGTGTGTGTGTGTGTGTGTGTGTGTGTGTGTGTGTGTGTGTGTGTGTGTGTGTGTGTGTGAGAGTGTGAGAGTGTGAGAGTGTGAGAGTGTGTGAGTGAGTGTGAGAGTGAGAGAGTGTGTGAGTGAGTGTGAGAGTGTGTGAGTGAGTGTGAGAGTGAGAGAGTGTGTGAGTGAGTGTGAGAGTGTGAGAGTGTGAGAGTGTGAGAGTGTGTGAGTGAGTGTGAGAGTGTGAGAGTGTGAGAGTGTGAGAGTGTGAGAGTGTGAGAGTGTGTGAGTGAGTGTGAGAGTGAGTGAGTGTGAGAGTGAGAGAGTGTGTGAGTGAGTGTGAGAGTGTGAGAGTGTGAGAGTGTGAGAGTGTGAGAGTGTGTGAGTGAGTGTGAGAGTGTGAGAGTGTGAGAGTGTGAGAGTGTGTGAGTGAGTGTGAGAGTGTGTGAGTGAGTGTGAGAGTGTGAGAGTGTGTGAGTGAGTGTGAGAGTGTGTGAGTGAGTGTGAGAGTGTGTGAGTGAGTGTGAGAGTGTGTGAGTGAGTGTGAGAGTGTGTGAGTGAGTGTGAGAGTGAGAGAGTGTGTGAGTGAGTGTGAGAGTGTGAGAGTGTGTGAGTGAGTGTGAGAGTGAGTGAGTGTGAGAGTGTGTGAGTGAGTGTGAGAGTGAGAGAGTGTGTGAGTGAGTGTGAGAGTGAGTGAGTGTGAGAGTGAGAGAGTGTGTGAGTGAGTGTGAGAGTGTGTGAGAATGTGAGAGTGTGTGAGTGAGTGTGAGAGTGTGTGAGTGAGTGTGAGAGTGTGTGAGTGAGTGTGCCAGACAATAGATCTTGGGCACAGAGGAGTACAGACTAATGCACTCTGGGCTCACCAACCACTGGCCACTCTTACAGGTCACGAATGGGCTGAGTAGATAAAAACACCCACACCCACCCATCCACCCACACACATACGCATGCAAAAACGCATGCACACACACACACACACAGATCTAAAGTATAACTATGAAGTATAAAATCAACTATAATAGGACATACAATTAATCATAATAGGTCAACTCCACACATAGAGAATTTCTTCATTCCTTATCAAGATTACAATAACGTAATATATCCACTGACTTGAGTCAAGGATTATCATTTCTGACCCCAGGCCTAGGCATTCTATCTGAGGAACTACAAACGTCAAACTGTAACTTTCCTTGAATCCTACTTTATTTTTGTAAACAATGAGGTCCTTTAGTCTTTGAAATATATATATAATAATCTAATGCAGTGGAAGCCAGCTGAGACATGCAAATGACATTCCTGTAGTTTACAAATACATATATGGAATAAAGCCTACATGTCCATGTGACAGGAAGTTCACAATACAGGTAGAAAATTTATTCAAGATCACAGAAAGTACACAAAATTTTGGGTGCTATACTTAAAAGTATCTGTAATCCATGATTGTCTCAGAAGACTTACATATCTTCATGCTATCATTAAAAATAATTTCAAACCTCAATTGAGTCTGATAGCAAATGATAATGGAAAAAAAGGCCAAGAGAGGGAGAGAAAGAGAGAGAGAGAGAGTGTGTGTGTGTGTGTCTGTGCGTGTGAGTGTGCGTGTGCGTGCGTGTGCATGAGTGAGTGAGTGACTGAGTGAGTGTGTTTTTTTTATGTGTTCAAACAACATATTTGTCAAGCTTACAAGATCCTATTCAGAGATACGTTGGACTGTGCCAAATGTTTTGACAAATAATATGTCATATTGCTCTATTTAACATTTTTATTCTGCTATACAACATATCAACAGATTAGTCACAGTCTGCTCAATGAAATGATTTCTATACACATACTATTTTTTCATACAAAATAACACACTACTAAAAATATATAGATATATATCATTAATTTCATAAAAATTTGGATCTATTCGTAGTTGCAAGATTCCCATGATTTTTTTTTTTTTTTTTTTTTTTTTTTTTTTTTTTTTTTTTTTTTTTTTTTTTTTTTTTTTTTTTTTTTTTTTTTTTTTTTTTTTTTTTTTTTTTTTTTTTTTTTTTTTTTTTTTTTTTTTTTTTTTTTTTTTTTTTTTTTTTTTTTTTTTTTTTTTTTTTTTTTTTTTTTTTTTTTTTTTTTTTTTTTTTTTTTTTTTTTTTTTTTTTTTTTTTTTTTTTTTTTTTTTTTTTTTTTTTTTTTTTTTTTTTTTTTTTTTTTTTTTTTTTTTTTTTTTTTTTTTTTTTTTTTTTTTTTTTTTTTTTTTTATGTGTTCAAACAACATATTTGTCAAGCTTACAAGATCCTATTCAGAGATACGTTGGACTGTGCCAAATGTTTTGACAAATAATATGTCATATTGCTCTATTTAACATTTTTATTCTGCTATACAACATATCAACAGATTAGTCACAGTCTGCTCAATGAAATGATTTCTATACACATACTATTTTTTCATACAAAATAACACACTACTAAAAATATATAGATATATATCATTAATTTCATAAAAATTTGGATCTATTCGTAGTTGCAAGATTCCCATGATTTTTTTTTTTTTTTTTTTTTTTTTTTTTTTTTTTTTTTTTTTTTTTTTTTTTTTTTTTTTTTTTTTTTTTTTTTTTTTTTTTTTTTTTTTTTTTTTTTTTTTTTTTTTTTTTTTTTTTTTTTTTTTTTTTTTTTTTTTTTTTTTTTTTTTTTTTTTTTTTTTTTTTTTTTTTTTTTTTTTTTTTTTTTTTTTTTTTTTTTTTTTTTTTTTTTTTTTTTTTTTTTTTTTTTTTTTTTTTTTTTTTTTTTTTTTTTTTTTTTTTTTTTTTTTTTTTTTTTTTTTTTTTTTTTTTTTTTTTTTTTTTTTTTTTTTATGTGTTCAAACAACATATTTGTCAAGCTTACAAGATCCTATTCAGAGATACGTTGGACTGTGCCAAATGTTTTGACAAATAATATGTCATATTGCTCTATTTAACATTTTTATTCTGCTATACAACATATCAACAGATTAGTCACAGTCTGCTCAATGAAATGATTTCTATACACATACTATTTTTTCATACAAAATAACACACTACTAAAAATATATAGATATATATCATTAATTTCATAAAAATTTGGATCTATTCGTAGTTGCAAGATTCCCATGATTTTTTTTTTTTTTTTTTTTTTTTTTTTTTTTTTTTTTTTTTTTATCACACTCAACATACTAAAGTTGTAAATAACAAGTTTAAGCTGATCCTCTTATGCCATTGAATTTGAGAGTGTGTGAGAATGTGAGAGTGTGTGAGTGTGAGAGTGTGTGAGTATGATGTGAGTGAGTGTAGTGAGTGAGTGTGAGTGAGTGTAAGCGTGAGTGTGAATGAGAGTGAGTGGAATGAGAGTGAGAGTGAGTGAGTGTCAGTGTGAGTGTGTTTGAGTGAGTGAGTGAGTGAATGAGTGAGTGAATGAGTGAGTGTGAGTGAGTGAGAGTGAGAGTGAGTGAGAGTGAGAGTGAGTGAGAGTGTGAGTGTGAGTGAGAGTGTGA